ATTTATAGATGTATTCATTCATTTACTTATGCTTGTTAACAAGTTATTGAAAACTGAAAACTAAATATCTTCAGAATATCAAACTGTCACATGGACAATACTCCCAGAAGAAGCTGTTCACATCTGTTTTTCTGAGGATGATTGGTCACAATGCCTTCCAGGAAACTAAATAAATCACTGACTGAACTGGAGGTAAATTAAAGATGTTGAGGGGAAGTGTAAACACCAAAGTGTGAATTACATCACATTATGAAAACATCTTATCTTGGAATGTAATGAAATAAATAGTGTTCTAGGGAGGACATTTAATTCATCATGAACAAGCTTTTGTTGGGGTTTTGTCAAGACCATCTTAGTTGTAGTCCAATTCGAACAAAGACCCAGCCTAATACAGTCTGATTCATGATCAAGACCGAACAGGGTCAGTTACAGTCCAGACCACAGGAAACCAACTGTTATTTGAGGCAAATTCCAAAACAGACCAACAGTTTTAGGGTTGTGTAGATACGGTATCGGCACTCAGCTGTGCTTTAATTAAATTTGTAGGTTGATATTTGTGTGAGATTAATATAATGGCTTTGTCCTTAAAACAGGTTCAGTGGTGTTAAATGTAAAAAATCTCTAAACAGATTTGAGACCGATCATACCCAAACAATCAACTCTTGACATGAGCCCCTGCGGTAACATGTCCTCTGATCTTTCCCAGGATTTGATGACTTCCACCTCTCCATCCACAGCGAGATGGCAACAGTCGCGAAGGCCATGGCCTGCCCAGAGTCGGGTCTAGAGGTGCGGGACAGAATGTGGCTCAAGATAACCATCGCTAACGCTTTTATTGGTATGTCTGTCAAAGCAGCGGGCACAGCCCAGCATTTATTTTCTTCATCAGTATGCACATCTGTCTTTACTCTTCATTTGCTCAGTTCAGTTTGGAGACTGCGCTCAGTGCTTCAGTGATGTGGCTGAAGTGATGCCTTAAAGCCTCAATTCAAAATGTTATTTGGTTAAATCGAACAACTTCGTTTCCAATTTTCATTGTGAGAAATGAATAAAAATCATCCCAGTAATCCATTAATATAGCTTTCCTTTATTGCTCCAAGTTGCACATCATAGCAGTAGTGTAGCAGTAGTGTGCAACTTTGTTCCATCTAATAAAATTTAATTTGGGTTTGTTGCTGAAAAAAACGGTTCTCTAAACATTAAAATCAGCTTTGGACAGATAAATATTCATTTATTGCATAAATATTCATTATTTAAATCCCTGCCTTCTATATTATGGTATATCATGAAATAGTTACTGAAACTGTAAAATTCACAACATGTCCAGTACCTGAAATGTGTGTGTCTTTGCGTCCTCAGGTTCTGATGTGGTGGACTGGCTCTTCCATCATGTGGAAGGGTTCTCAGATCGCAGAGAAGCCCGTAAATACGCCAGCAACCTGCTGAAGGCCGGCTACATCCGACACACCGTCAACAAGATCACCTTCTCCGAACAGTGTTACTATATCTTTGGAGACCTCTGTGGCAGTAAGTGGCAGCTCTTTGGTTAGCTGCGATCGGCATTGAGTGTTAGCAGACAAAGCAAGTGTTGCAGACAAAGTGTCGTGGTTGAGGTGTTACTGTAGAAGTCTAAATCTCTTTTTTTCCCCATATCTCCTCACACTCAGACATGACCCACCTGTCTCTCCATGACCATGATGGGTCCAGTGGTGGTGCCTCAGATCAAGACACTCTCCCTCCTCTGCCCCATCCCGGGGCAGCCCCCTGGCCCATGACCCTGCCCTACCAGTTCCCCATTCCACACCCATACGAACTGCCACAGCCCTTCCATGGTGGACCAGGCGCCGGCAGTGCAGGAAGCCAGCACAGTGGTGAGTGCAGTAAAAACATACTGTATGTGATCATCACCACTATATTCAACACGTACTGAAGAACAATTGGCTGGGTGCCATGTTAATATTGTAATACTCCATCCAAAATGTTATCTTATTATCTTTTATTACAATTCAACCCCTGTCTGTGTAGAGTTTGTTGTTTGTCCCTTAACAAAGCAGCAGTGAACTTGAATTGATAATAATCAAAATGTCAGTAGAAACTTCTTCAATGGCTGCAGATTGCTTTTCTTCTTTATTCATCTGTATGCTGCAAACACTATGTTGCACACTACGTTGCAATCACTGTAATGTCATTGTAACTGACATGAGTGAATGCTAGCTACAACAGCATTTCTTGTGAAGCAGCAAACTATAAGCCCAAATCTCTGTCTGTCAAGCCTACAGATTTGCGCTGCAGTGTCACTTTACATAGAGGGATTTAAAGGAATACAGTTTAGCTCTGTCAAGAGTGAAAAATATTTCTCCAAAGCTGCGTTATTTACAAGTTTTATTTTGTGTATTTAACGTGTAGAAATAGAAAACCAGACATTGTGGTTTTAGGAGCAGTTTGCTTACGCAATGGGGATATTTACTTGCCAACAACAGCTGGGCCCACTGACTGCACAAAACATCTCAGACATCCTGTCTTCATTTTGTGGTTGCAAACCACCATTGAATGTACTGAAGATTTTACCAGGTTATAAGATACAACATGAGTTTTATGGAAGCTCCCCCTGGCCTCCAGAGTTGGTGCTAAGCTAGTCTCAGGTCTATCTATCTAAAAGGCGCAGAGAGACAAAATGTAACTTTTCATCTATCTGTGGGTTTGATGGCAACAAGCGTGCTTCTAAAAATGTCACAGTGTTCCTTTTAACCATAGGAGCTGTGAAGGTTTTTAAATTCATCAGACTGAAGAACTTGCCTCAAAAGCATGCGGGCTGTTTGTGGTAATAAAATGAAAACATGCAATTGCCTTCAGTAATGGCTGAGCTGTTTGGCCTGCAAAATGCATTGAATGCTCCGTGACCATGTCTGCATTAGTCATGCAGCTCTCCTGAGAGTCTCCCACAAACTGGGTCAGTGCTGCCTGCGTCAGTTCACTGGCACCCAGATGGGAGTGAGTGGCTCATATAGGTCACTACTTAGATTAAGATATTACACTTGGATATTAATGATTGTCTCTTTTACTCTTGTCTACAGGAAGCAGTGGTTCTAACTGCAGTAAGAATGAGGGTCGGAAGTCTGGCGGCAGTGGCAGCGAAACGGAGATCAGGAGCCACCGAGCTCCAAGCGAGCGCTCGGTGGCTCCCCCTAGCGAGCGAAGCATCCGTAGCTCTGTCAGCCACCGCAGTGCCAATTCCCACTCAATAGCCTATGGTCCTGGCCTTGTCTATGGCCCCCCTGGCCTGCCCCCCCAGCCCCCACATCTGTCTACAGCTGCCCCTGGCGCCCCTCCAGGCAGAGAGCTCGTCTCTGTGCCCCCGGAGCTCACTGCCTCGCGCCAGTCTCTGCGCATGGCGGTGGGCAACGCTGGGGAGTTCTTTGTTGATGTAATGTAACGCAGATTTCGTAGGCCGGCAAACAAAGTAGCAGATTGGGCTTTTTCGCGTCACTGTAATGCTGAGAAGGACAGCATGACAGGACAGGAGGGAGGGAAGATTGCAAAAGCTGGAATGCCGAAATGGAACCAACCTTGTTGTGTATGCTGAGAGAAAATGTTCCTCCTCTCTTGTGCTTTTCTTCCTAGTAGTAGTGGCCATACTTTCTTCAGTGAAGAAACCCCCTCGCTCAAGATGGAACCAAAGCGCCTCTCTCAGTTTCCGCTCCTCGGTGGGGAAGGGTTTGCGTAAGGACAAAAGAGCAAGAGTGGGAGGGAGGCAGAGGAAACGGACAGCTGGGGACGATGACTCAGCGCTTTTCTACTTGGGTGTTTTTCATTTGTTCTTCTCTTCACTCTTCCCTCCTCTCTGCCTTCCTTATCTAACAAACTCCCCCTCCCGTTCACGTCAAACTGAGAGAAAGAAGCCTCTTCCCTCCTTCTGTTCTTTCAGTTCCCTGACCTCTAACAAGAAAAAAGAATAAACCCTAAAAGCTGAAATGAACACTAACTGTTAACCATATCCAGACTTTTTAAATGTTTGCTTGACTTAAGAAAGAAGGAAATGGAAATGTGTATGTAGTGCAAGAGAATCGCAGTCCTTCTTACTGTAAGAATGCATTTGTTTTATTATATATACGTAGTTGGTCACAACGATTTTTCAACGCTAAACATGAGCATAAACCTTCAAGAGTCAATTTTACACTACACAACCGCATTTGCAGACTCTGTTGTGATAATGTATAGTGGAAAAAAACATTTCTTACCATATCTTTCACACTACTCTTTTATCAAGGAAAAAAACGTCTTTTTATTTATAAATATAGTTTTATGACTTAACTCTGCTGCTTTGTGTTATGTTTTTATTTGAGTGGATGTGCATATGTTTGTGAAGCAGAAATGTCCATGGTACCTGAGGTCATATTTGCATTTAAAGGGAATGGATTCCATGACCAGGAATGCGAAGGTTAGGCACAGGTGGGTGGGTGTGCGCGCGCGCAAGAGCTCTGCCTGTGTACATTTAGATTAGCCTCGGAACTGTATGACCCTATGCAAAATGTTCCCTGTGGTTAGAGGGAGGAAAACTCCTGTAGAGAGGCGATTTGAGTCAACTTGGACCAAAAAAAGAGTCAGATGGAGTCCGCAGGACAGAAAATAAAATAAGACCACCCACATAATTTTAAAGTACAAACATTCCTATCTTTCCTCAGGGAAATAAGTTCTCTTGCTCTCATTTACTGATGGTGTGAGTTGGAGAGCAGAGCTATCCTCCTGTGGAGCTACAAAGACAACTTATGGCATTACTCAAAGACAATTAATCAAGCAAGTTGGATGTATGCCAAAATGGTCCCAAGTCCGTTAAGAAGGATATATATAGTTATCAGAAACATAACCAATAATTAAATTCCATTATATACCATGAAAAATAATTGACCAGTAGCTTATCACAATAAGGCCTGGGTGCGGTTTACACATCGCTCCAGCCGCGCCTTTTCCTGTCAGCGGAACGGTTGTGCGTAAGGACGGCGGGTCAGCTGACAGCTATCAGAGGACCAGGAGGAAGGAGCGGAAGGAGCGGAATTAGCGGGTGTGTGAGCTGGGAACCTAACGTACCGGATCCTGACAGAGCCTATATCCAAGGCAGACGGGGCGCGAAAGACAGGTGGCGTTCGTGAGAGAACTAGGGTAAGTTCACTTAAGTCATGGTGGCTGTATGTTTGTCGTCAAAATTATTATCTGTAGCGCGGTAACCGTTTCGGACAGCCGGTGAAACTGTTTCAATCGGGAGGGAAGCTAACATTAGCAAAGTTAGCTGCAGCTCCGTTAGCTAACGTCAAGCTAGCAGCGACAAATAGTATGATCACGGAAAAGAGGCGTTGTATTCCTTCCAAATAAGAGCATATAGCACGCGTTTCTGCATTTAAAAAAACAAACAACTAACGTTATTGGGGACAGTCGGTGCGAAAATCTTAAATTGTCAATTTGGAAGTTGACGATTAGTAATTAAGTTGAATGTGTAGTCGAACGGTCTACGTTTCTTTTCACCGGAAGTCCATTTAAAATTCCGCTCGGCTCGACGCTGAACATCACCACCAGCTGGCCTGCTATCGTTAGCTAAATTAGCTAGCTACCTACCCCTCTCTCCGTCGATTCTCCATCACTTTGATCTTAACTGAAGGTCAAGCCTCCAACAATGATTTAGCCATTTAAGAATGTTTAAAGCTAAGCGCTTCAAGCAGACCTGTACCCTCACCGGTCGAGGAACAAATGGGGAAAACATGAAAAATGTATGAACGTTAGGAAATGGCCCGAGTGAGCAGACATCTTGACTTCGACCAATAAAAGGGCTATTAAACCCGCTCAGGTCTTGTGCACGGTTTATTCGGCCACGACTCGGCACTGTACACATGGGGGAAATAATTTTACTATTCTTAACCATATGGTTATGTTCATCACTTCCTCTGAGCGCCTTGTGGGGTTGTCTGGCCTCTGTCTTCGAGGAATTTCAAGCATGTCCTTCATCCCCTGTTTCCAGAAGCTTCATTCTTGAATGAGCGCAAACTCTTATGATTTGTTGGTCTAAACCATAATCCCTAAACGCTAATTGTCTAACAACCATCCTCTAGATTAATTTTGCTGTTTTAAGATATTATTGTTTAGAATTTTATGTTTAGTCAAATCATATCCAGACTGCATCTGGCAGTCAAATGCAACCCAGTAGGAGCAACATATTTGTATCTTGCTACCTGGTGGCATCCTACTTCAAACCAATGGCTGCTAATCTGCTGTTAATCTTACTTTGGAAGCAAACAAGGAATTGACTGTGGTGAGGGTGGTGGTAGTAGAGTCTTTTTAGTCTGTTGGAGTGATATTTTATGCACGTATGCACATGCACGAATCAAAAATGAGCCACCACAGTGGTGCAGCTGCAGGATATATACAATTGAGGTGTGTGTGTGTGTGAGAGAGACATGGAGAAAGCGGATGTGAGGGACAAGTGCCTCCCTGTACTGTTGGTCACTCGCTCACTTTTCACTGCTTTCACTTCTCTATCACCCTTCTTTCCTTTCCCTGTTTCCTTCCTGCAATCTCTGGCTGCATTTCTATCTCTTCTCAGGTGGGGTTTCGTTTCACCATGGCCAGTTGGGACTGAGAAGCAGCCACAATGATTGGAGGATTGTTCATCTACAACCACAAGGGGGAGGTTCTCATCTCCCGGGTCTACCGAGATGACATTGGGTATGTTTCACAGGAGCAAAGCTGCTGTAACTGCTGTTTTGGTGGGACTTCATTTCAGTGAGCAGGTCTTGATCCAGTGAGTGTGGACAGGTTGGGATTTATTCTGAAGGCATGAGAGAGGGGATTATGTCCCTCTTCCCTGCTAATAAGTTTATATTTGCCTGTTTTGTTATCACTTGGATGTTTTTGAAACCTAGCTAAACCAGAATTACAATGTTACTAATGGACAAAGAACACAATTGTTTTATTAAGTACAAGTAACTATAATAAAAAGTACAATTATGCACAATCTGGAAAAAATAATATTCTCATTCACTATTCCCATGTTATGAGGTAATGGTTCGATTCACTCGTGTTTACCAAACCGCACCCTCTGTTTAAAAGATTAGGGGTAGCTGTGTTAAAAGCACTTCCAAACTATCCACCAGTGTTGATACAAGAGACAAGTTATTATTACCAGATGGAAATGAGGTACGTATAGTAAGCAACCTTTTCCCTTGCATGTGTAGATAATGAAAATACCCACGTTATGTCAAAGAAACATTCTCGTAGGTTTGGCATGGAGGGATGGGGAATTAATAATTGTCTGGTTGGGGGGAAAAACGTGTCAAAAAGAATACTTTAAAACAATAAAAAGCAAGAAATATTTTCACAAATCTTCAGTGCTGTTTTACTGTAATACAAAAATTATTTGAAGTCATTTTAGAAAAAACATAAAGGTTTGCTGTTTTTCCATAAACAACTGTAAACATATTTACCCACAAGAATGATCATATTAATCATGTCAGAGATGGTCAGTCTAAATTGTCCACATAACAGAAAATATGAGAGATGTCAAAGGTCGGCATGTCATTAACAGTAAGCAATATCCAGTTCTTTATGTCTGACCAAATTCTTTTGGACTCCGGACATGAGAGAAAAAAGTGGTCTAATGAATGCCAAAGGTACAAGGGTCCACTTCAAATATGTAACCTTACTTTACAACCGGGTAAACCTTATGAATTACTTTTGAAATTAGTTTTTTTTTTTTTTTTTTTTTTTTTTTTGGACTTATGGGCAATGGGGCATTTAATATATTCAGAGTTTGCTTTTTCCATGATAGACAAAGTTTGCGCATCAGGAACTTGAGCGTGCCGTTATCTATTATAATCATGAAACACTTTTAGTTTCAGAGCCACACTACTATTTGTTATAACACTTGCTATCCTTTAAGCTGAAATCATTAATTACTGGATTTGGCAGCACAGATTCAACATTAGAATCCATTAGGGTATTTTGGATTACCTGAATCGGCGATAGAGGGATCACTTTACATATCTTACAGAACTCTCCACAAGTACAATTTAAATTATATTTATCTATAAAGGCCATATAATCCAAAAGGTTACCATTGTAGTCCAATAAATCATTAACAAACAAAATGCTTTCCTCATACCAATCCCTGTTAAATAGAGATGTTCTATTGATTGTAATCACTCTGTTTCATAAAGTTGATAAATCGGGAGAAAGATTTTGAGAAAATATTAATAACTTTAAACCAACCGAACAAAGCTGAGACAGGAGCCTAAAAACTGCTGAAGATTTAGTTTTGATGAAAAGAACTGTTCCCGCAGCCTAAGATGGACTATTAAAAACATGGCTGAGTCATAAACAGTGTAGGCTACAGACACACAGATTCTCACATATCAATGGGTATGTTATTGATAGGAACTCAGCTGTGTGGCCAGAGGAATATTCTACATATTGTGAAGGTCTGACTTTTATTCTCTCTCATTCTTCCTTTCCTCTTCCTCATTTGTGTGTGACTCATTATTGATGTGATTCATTTGTAACGACGAAACCAGGTCTCCATGCTGAGACCCAGATGTCACTTTATGTCTTGTGTATACCCAGCCACATTGAGTGATTGGGCTGAGTGTAGGTATCTCCAGAACACACGCCAGCCGGTGCTTTGTAGATTTACACAGTGAGGGTTGGCAAGGTGCAGAGAGAGGGCACAAGTGGTGGGTCCACTACAGCAGTACTGGGTCAGTGAGCTATAACACTTAATGTTTAATCTCTTCAGCAGTTTTTGGTGTCGCAGGGTTATCAATAGGACAATGGAAATGGTCCGACATAGAATAGTATATGCTGCATTAGAGCTGTTCATTGTTAACATGTGGCATCAGCAGACTGAGACTCGATTAAAAAGTCTAGCCTTCCATCTTTTGTCCTGCTTCTAGGCAGCAATCAGTAATGTGATTGTCGTTGATTTATTTTTAACCATTGCTCCTTCCTTGTCTAACAGTAGCACAAATGGCAGTAGAGCTGCTAGCCTCTGCCTCCTCAGACAAAGCTCAAGATGTACTGCAGAAAAGCACTGAATACTAAACTAAAATAAAAATCAACAGAATTCAGGCCCCCATAACCACAGTTCATTTTGCTAAACGCTGTAAAAAGAGAGACAACAGCGGTCATTAACAGTTTTCATATTATGTTCAGTAAAAGTAGTTGACTGTGGTCCCGACATCTGTTGCTGCAACAGTGGAAACCAGATGTTTTAGATGTTGTGTTACTCTAATGCCTACGGTGTGTTGTGCTTTGATGTTGTGTTGACAGCTATGGTCGCACTTGTTTTTGCATTGAGAAATAGAATTGATCCACTTGTCACGCTGTTGTTACGATACAACACAAATTAAAGAACAATATAATCCTGCTGACTTGCTCCTGACATATTCACTTTCAATTATGGCGTCATAAGAAACACCGTGTTACTCAGTGTCTGTGTACATGATACACGAAAATGTCTCTTGTACATTTTTGTCTCTCTCCTTTTACTTCATCCTTTTTCCCCTTCTCTATCCTCTGTATCACCATTTTCCTCCATCTGTCCATCTTGGCCCCTGTAGGAATAGGTAAGAGATGCTCCAGCCTATCAAGCATGACCCCTCCCCTCTTATGGCCACCAGATCAGTGACCCACCTCCTGAAACCCCTGACTGCATGCCCATTGATTCCACAGTCAACTTCCTGATACTTCCTCTAAGCATGAGTCACCTGTCATGACATTACAGTGGAAAAGAAGCCACCAGATGCTGAGACCTAAAACAGCCAGTCAGTCTAAGCAAACAAATTCAGCCACTACCCAAGCCCTTCAATGAGTATTAGTGCTCGCAAACAGCTCTACCAGTGTCTAAGCATGTAATCTGAGCATGGGATATGACGGTTAAGTTAGTCCTCTCATCCTTTGATTCTGCCCTTTTTGATTTTGTGTGATCTCATTTGTAGAAGTGGGCCTTAAATCAAGTACCACACGCTGGAATCAACTATGATTTTGGCTTTGGGTAAAAGTTTGTCATTGAGGTTTTATTTTTAATCAAAGCTTAAATACACATTTTTCAAAGAAAAAGATGTTCAGGATATTTAGGCTGATAAGGCGTTTGTACTTGTTAGTTGTAATATTAAAAACGCAGTCTAATGAATAAGGCCGACACCATGGCGGCCTCCTAGACTGACATATTGTATCCTTGCGTTCAGTACTCCTCACCACGTTGAATTCCTAAACTTGCGAGCTTAGATGTTAATATTTTGATGCTTTGCAGGCATTATAGAAATTATGTCTTTTTAAACGTGTGTAACCAAACAACCAAGAAGGCTGCCACCTGCATATATGTAGTACATTTGTTCTTCATGGTCCCATTCAAAAATGGGAGCAATCAATAAGAGAGTGATTGAATTGTTTACCTTCAGGCTTGGTTTGTCTAATAAGGTATTCCATTTTTAGAGGAGATATTTTTAGATGCAGTCAGCTGATAGTATGTCACTTATTGCATATCTTAAAGCAAGGTAGATAATCTCATATCAGTAAGGTGAGCAGTCTGTGTGTCTGGATGTTCTCGAGCATTTCTCAGTAGGATTTTGTGTTGTCAGAACATGCTGCGTCGTCTACACTAAGCCCTGTTATTTATAAATCCACAATAATCTGGGCTACGTTTACCCAATGCATCGCGGCACGAAGGTGTACCTTTTAGGTAAACTATCTCACAGATTTTTTGATATCGGTATAAAAAAATCAGATGTAATCCCTTTTTACATTTCTAAAAATAAAGAAATAGTCCAACTTAAGATCAGGTTTGGACCATACATGGTTTAAAAACAGGTTGTTGTGTTTTTTTTGTTTTTTTTTTTTTTTGTTCCCATGGAGTTATAATGCTGTTGCCTGCGTGTCACCCTAAACTCTCAAAGCCGTCCCTCTCCCTCCTGGTAATTATCACCATTTACACAAAACACTACTCCTTTTCTCCGTCTAAATGCATCAACTTGTGTCCCTTTCCACTAGGTAGGAAAAGGTTTTGATAATTGCTCGTTCCTTGAAATGGGGTGCATATGTTGTTCGGGTGAACTACCATTCACATTTGAACCGATACCTGGAATTCAGTATCGGTACTCAACGGCCACTTTTTCTAGGACTTTGATCTCTGTAGCCTAATAACAAACATGTCATTTCAGTTGTAAAAAAAGAGTCCTAACATCTCAATTTCAACATTGTTTTTTTATTTACAACATTTTGTTGTGTACCATAAAATAAACAATAATAAATTACCGGTAAAATCAGTTGCTGAGGCTACCAGTTCAATTGTACTGTTGGCTGAAAATGCACTTAGAGCCTGTCGTCTGCAGCTCTTCATGAAACATCTCACTGTGGCTGTTTCTGCTTGAACGGTTCCCCTCTGCAGTATTTCTGATGAACACATAGGGCCAAATATCTCCAGATCTTGTTTTTGTAGAAGAATAGTGCAGCTAACGAAGCTCTTACGCCACGATAAACACATTTCACTTCCACAAGTTCTTCACAATAAAAGCCTTCCATTAGCTTGTCATTGGAAAACTTTTAATATGAAGCAGCAGCAGCAGGAAATGTTTTTACCAGCAGTAACTTAACATGGCTTCGATACGGCTGAAATATGATCAGGAAACGGTCAGAAAAGGCTGGTATCCGAAAGTACAAACAGTAACACTGGAGAGAAATGTAAACTACAAGTGTTTTTATTATTTATTTTTCCCCCTATGGTGATATGTTTTATTTTGTTAATTATCTTGTGTGCAAGTTGTCTTGATGGAAACGATAAAAAAAAAAAATCACCTTTCAGGATTGTAGGGGCACTGTAGGAATCTTATCAATATGTGTTTGAATTCACAACACAACGGGGTCTCAAGGCACCAAAATTACCCTTAAAGGACTGTAAAAAGAGTTCGGCATACAACCTTAAATGTTGGCCCAGGGTTTTTTTTAAATTTTAAATCCAGTGCAGAACTGGATAGCAAACTCTAGTTATTTAGCAGCAACATTTTCACATAATGTGGTGGTAGGGTGAGATAGTATTATTAACAGTCTCACTATTATGTAAAAGCCTAAAACACCCCCCCTCTCTTTTTCTCATCCTCCCTCCCATCCTAGGCGTAATGCGGTGGACGCGTTCCGTGTGAACGTGATTCACGCCCGCCAACAAGTTCGATCCCCGGTGACCAACATTGCCCGCACCAGCTTTTTCCATGTCAAGCGCTCCAACATCTGGTTGGCGGCCGTCACCAAGCAGAATGTCAACGCCGCCATGGTGTTCGAATTCCTCTACAAGATGTGTGACGTCATGACGGCATACTTTGGCAAGATCAGCGAGGAGAACATCAAGAATAACTTTGTGCTCATCTACGAGCTGCTGGATGGTAGGAGACTGTACTTTTGTGTGTGGAATCAGTGGAATTGTCAAAAATATGCTGAGATTTAGAGTGAAAGCCAGATTATTGTTTGTTGATTGTGATGGTAAAGCCTGAACTCTAGTCTTCTCATGTAATTATGATTGTAGGTTGTATTAACCTGAAATGTCCGGCAAATAAACATCAGTATCCACAGCTGTCTTTAGCAACATTATATCTTGTGGTGTTCCATGGTTTAGCTGTGATGTGTATTAAAGTAGTGTATTGTAGCAGCGCTGGGTCTTGCAATCCAGACTTCATTACACTGTGTTAAAAACACAAAGTTTGTGTTTATCCTCCCAGAGAAAGTTGTATTAATATTCTGTCTCAGAGTCAGCACGGGTTCTTTCCATCGCTACATATCCTAGTTTTTTCTCTTACCCAGCTTATCTCTGACCGACGGTTATCTGTCTGTTTGTTCATACAGAGATCCTGGACTTTGGCTACCCCCAGAACTCAGAGACCGGAGCTCTGAAGACCTTCATCACCCAGCAGGGCATTAAGGGACAGGTCAGTAAGTTTAGTCTTAAATGTAGGGATTGGGTTTTGCTGTGTTGAGAGAACCATGATATATAGTCAGCTCATTAGGTACAAAACCTACCGTCATGAAGGTTGTAATGTTCAGTGTATGTTGAAACAGTTTTAGGCCCCAATCAGACAGAATGTGTTTTTTGCAGGAGCGCTCAGAGTACAAAGTTGAGAAAAATTCAACTCTGAGCTGAAAATGCCTGACGTCATTAGCGTTTTTTTCCATTGTCCAATCAAATGAATGGCGAGACGGGCCCTCAGTTGTGGTCACAGAATTTTACAGTTGCTTGGATTGTCCGAAGACTGCAACAAACTGTCGCTGACTCATCCTAAAATAAGCCTTGAACCGATCATTATTAAGACGAAGCTCCTGGACCAACTGATCTTTGATTAGACTGACAGGACAGCTGATTTGGTGGTTGCCTAGCAACATTTAAAAAAAAAAGAAGAAGTAAAATAGAATAAAATAAAAGGGATAAAATAAAGTCAAATAAGATCGGGAAAGGCTCTCCTATAAAAGTATGTTTTAAGAAGGGACTTAAAAGAGTTCACTGACTCAGCCAACCTGATTTCCTCGGGCAGGCTGTTCCAGAGCCTCGGGGCCCTGACAGCAAACGCTCTGTCCCCTTTAGTTTTCAGTCGAGACTCTGGAACAGACAACAGACTTCTGCCCGAGGATCTCAAGGTACGTGCTGGTGCGTATGGGACTAAAAGTTCAGAAATATAACAAGGCGAGAGGCCATGAAGAGCTTTAAAAGTGATCAATAGAATTTTAAAGTCAACTCTAAAACATACTGGGAGCCTGAATGTGGGACTGGGAGCCAGTGTAATGAGGCTAAAATAGGGGTAATGTGGTCATATTACTTTGTTCTGGTTAAAAGCCTGGCAGCTGAGTTCTGGACAGTCTGGAGTCGATCAGTAGATTTTTGGGTTAAACAAGTGAAAAGGTTGTTGCAATAGTCCAGGTGTGATGAGATGAAGGCGTGTACTATGAGCTCTTACTAGTACTTATTGCTGCTCTTACTAGTATGTATTGTCAGTTGTAGATCTGTATTTGATACTCTGTTGATGCTTGTATGCTGTTCCTCAAATGTATGTCGCTGTTGGATAAAAGCGTCTGCCAAATGAGTAAATGTGTAAAATGGTCTCAGTGTCCTTAAAAGTTAACATAGATCGAATTTTTGCTATATTTCTAAGTTGATAAAAACATGATTGATTGAACATGATTGGTGTGCTCCTCAAAATTTTAATTACTATCAAACCAAACACCAAGGTTCTTTGCAACAGGCTTAATGTGATTTATTAGGGAACCGGCAGATGGCAATATTTGTTTTGCCATCTGCTGGGACCCAGTGACTGTCTGAGTTCAGCTAGAGGAAATTATTTGACATCCATTTTTTAACTTCACAAAGGCAGTCGGTAAGTGAACTCTGTCTGTGGATCTGACGGGCAAGTACATTTGTGTGTCATCAGCAAAATATGAAAAGTACCACCATGTTTATGGATAATATGTCCAAGGGGAACCAGATACAAGGAAACAAAATGGGTCCTAAGACCGACCCCTGAGGCACACCATATTTAACTGGACAGAATGAGGAGACATAGTTGTTTACAGACACACAAAACTTCCTATTTGACAGGTAGGATGAAAACCATTCTAGGGCAGTACCAGAGATCCCCACCCAGTGCCTCAGTCTGTCTAACATGATGTTCTGATCAATGGTGTCAAAAGCAGCGCTAAGGTCCAGGAGTACAAGGACTGAGCACATGCCTTCATCAGCAGACATTAAAAGGTCATTGGTGACTTTAAGCAGGGCAGTCTCAGTGCTGTGGTACTTCCTAAAACCAGACTGAAACTTTTCAAATAATTTGTTATTTTCCAGTACAGTGAGCAGCTGTTTGGACACAATTCTTTCTAGAATCTTTGCAATAAAAGGCAGTTTTGAAATTGGTGTAAAATTTTGAGGGAGGGATCTAAACCAGGTTTCTTTAAAAGTGGGTTCACGCAAGCAGTTTTAAAATAATCAGGGACACAACCAGTAGATAGGGAGCTGTTGAAAACAAAGATCAAATGGGGCCCAACAGAATCTATTACTTTCATTAAAAATTTTGTAGGTATTACATCAAGTGGGCTGGAGGACACGCTCATTGAACCCACAACCTTCTTGCTGTGAGGCGACAGTGCTAACCACTGTGCCGCCCACGTCGCTGGGATAAAACTGGTTAAAACTCTCTTGTTGCTGGTGAGGGACATCTGAGTAAGAGGCCGTGGGGGTAATAGAGGCTCTGATTGACACCACCTTATTGGTAAAATAAGATAAAAACAATTCACAGTCATCATTACTTCCAGCTGAGGCACAAGGAGGGGTTGGGTTTACCAGCTGATCCACAGTCTTAAACAGAAACCTGGGATTGTGTTTGTGTAGTGATGAGTTCAGAAAAATGGTGTGTTCTCGCATCCTTAACCATGTTATTGTAGTTAATTAATAAATCCTTCAGACTGAGGTAATGGACTTGGAGACTGGATTTTTCCATCTGCGCTCTGCTTTCCTGCATTCCCTTTTTAGGCTGCGAATGCTGTCATTTATCCAGGGTTGCTTACTAGCTTTAGATGTAGGCCTAACCTTTAGAGGAGCAGTAATATTTAGTGACGACAAGCAGATATGATTGAAGTGATCGACCAGATTGTTGTTGTTGGAATCAGACAGGTGTTGGCTTTGGCTCTGAAAGAATGCCCAAACTTTGAAACACCTTGTTCATTAAAGATGCGAGAACACACGGCGCTTGGTGAGGCGGCATGAGTAACAGGCGAATCGCAGCTAAAAACAATACATCTGTGGTCAGATGTAGTCACCCAGGGTACAAACCAAGTCCAGTGTATGACCACGGTTATGGGTTTGCCCTTTGACATGTTGTTTGAAGTTAAAACATGAATATTAAAATCGCCACAAAGAACAATTCTGTCATAATTTAAAACCAGAGTAGATAAAAAAATCAGAAAGTTCTGATAAAAATCCACCAGTTTTTTTGGGGGGCGATAAATTATAACAAATATGACAGGTTGCAGCCCTCCAACTTTAAGAGTGAGAACTTCAAAGGAGTTAAATTCATCACAGCATACTTGATGACATTTAACATTTTTCCTATACACGCTCACTAGCCCACCACCACAACCACTGACCCTCGGTTGACTAAAACAATCATAGTGAGGCGGACACAGTTCAGCTAGCTGGCTATAGTCATTAAATGTGGCTGTAGTTTGTGGAACATTAGAGGAAAGTTAAAGCCCTCCTCCAGCCAGTTTTAACTGCCGTTTTTGGTTAACGTTCTTTCTTAAACAGAGAATGGGGGTGTGGTTAATAGTCGGACGTAATACATTACCATGACAACCAAAAACTGACCGGCTGGAGTGTTCACTAACGATATGCTGTGTTAACATCACTACACTGTAAAGTTTAGTACACTTTACTATCTGGCAGGAGTAGCTATTACTTACTCATGATGGAAACTAATGTGCGCGCATCAGCTGTTTAGTCGATGGTCCTGTCACGCACTGCACACGATAACTCCCACTACGTTTTATGGTGCGCTTCCTTTACTGCAGGGGTGTGGGGGGTGCCTCCGCCGATGCATTGGTAAAACGGCTGTCAGTAAAATGCATGTTGGAGACGGTGGCAGGTGAAAATGCAACGCGTTTTCTGTCATCTGTCCTCAACACCGCACACACAGATGCCATAATGAAAATGAACAGCACACTAAACCAAGAGGAGGAAACTAAAAAATAAAATGAAGACCATCCGTTAGCTAACTTTCTGCAATAACTATGCTAGCTAACTACAACTAACTTAGCTAACTAAACAAGAAAGACAAACTAACAATCAGACACAGAGACATACCTACTGTAAGTTCTAAGTAAATTACATGATAAATTGGTTAGCTAGCTCACAACGATGTTTATCGGTTTGATGCTCTGACTAAACGAGATGTGACAGAGTGACAGTTTTTAACGAGGCATGACAGTGCGCCTGCGCAAGCTTGGAGAATGACGTATGACTTATGGTATTACTATAGTCATACGTCACAAACCCGTCTTAAGAACTAAGCCAGTTTTTCAACTCTGAGCACGAAATTAAGCCATTTGTCAAAAAATATTACGAACTATGTGGGTAATCAACATTGGATTGAGAAAAAGATGAAATTTTATAGAAATGTCAAAATACACTGGAGGGGGGCTTTAAATAATCTAAATTAAACTGGTTTCACAAACCTGACTGGCAATTTACACCTGACATTAAAATGCATTTTGGGTGATTGGATTGCTGTCGGATAGTGCATTAAATTACAGGTGTAAATTCACCCAAGAAACACTGAGGACAGGTTGTGCTCCAGTTGGCCAAACCACCTCCGGAGGTGTTCAGGGACTCAATTTTCAATTCAATTCAGATTAGCTTTATTGGCATGAATGTGTAATAACAATATTGCCAAAGCATCATACAAACTACATAAGAACAATCAACTCCATACATTTCATTAAACAAGTAATTAAAGCTTAAAGTAATCAAAGACTCTTTGTGACCACATTGTACACAAGTGTAAATGCAAAAGCATTGTCAATCCACATACAACAAGTGTGTGGGCGGAAGTAAATACCGGTCATAGTCCTCCACAAATAAAATCCAAAGTTTGCCCGCGCGGGCAGTGCTTCCATACAGTGTTACGTGACTCATGTTTTTGGTGAACTGAACGTATCAGTTTGTGTGTCACGCACTGTTCAGTTAAACTTAATCTAAACCTACTAAACAACTACTAAAATAACAGAAAGGAGTACACAAAGGTCTAAATCTAGATATGAGACCATTTTAATGCGAGGTGTAAATGGGCTATGAATGTAGGCACAATGTGTTTAATACAGGGTTTGCAGATACTGTTATGATTTGATTGGCACCTTCCTTGTTTATGTTTGAAATAAATGTTGTGTGATAAACAAAAAATTGCTTTGAAATTATATCTTCTGTTTCCCTCTCCTTGTTTCCCCCCTCCAAACTGCGGTCTTGGACACTTCATAATTCAGCACCAGGTAATAAACAACATACTGAGACTCATTTTATCCGTGTATAGAAACATGTCATCTTTGTTTTCCGCCTCCCTGTAGTGCTAATGATCCCTTTTCATCACCTTCCTACTTTTGTGAGTCTGTCAGCCATCTCCTTTTTGTTAGTAGTGATACAGTTTCTCTCCCTGTCTCCCAGACAAAAGAGGAGCAGTCTCAGATCACCAGCCAGGTGACGGGGCAGATCGGCTGGCGCCGCGAGGGCATCAAATATCGCCGCAATGAACTTTTCCTGGATGTACTGGAGAGCGTCAACCTGCTCATGTCACCGCAAGGTCTGTTTTTATGGCCTAGTCTAACTGGGTGGGGACTGCTGACACGAACGATTCACTGAAATCGTATCATTCTTGAAGTTGTTCACCACTTTAGAGTTTTGTCTTTGATATCTCTCCTCCTTCATATTTATATATTTGATTTTTATTTCTCACTATATTTGTCAGGTGTGCCCTGCAGAGAGTCAGTGCATCAGATATCTATATTTAGATTTAAAATCCCTCAGTTAGTTAATAGGCATAGACCTATTAAACTTGGAAAGTCACTGTCCCTCCTCCTCTCCAGGCCAGGTACTGAGCGCCCACGTGTCGGGCCGAGTGGTGATGAAGAGCTACCTGAGTGGAATGCCCGAGTGCAAATTTGGCATGAACGACAAGATCGTCATCGACAAGCAGGGCAAGGGAGGAGCGACTGATGAAGCAGGGAAGAGGTGAGTGACAGAACAAGGAGGGGTCAGCAGGCGGCCAAATGAATATCTGAAATCAACGTGTTTTGATGAGCGAGGCTGGAAATTTGTTTAGATAATTTGCTGTTCAGTTTCTTTAGTGAGTGGTGCTTTTATATTATTTCCATCTTGAAAACCCTGACAAGGAAATACATTGAGTCAAAATTTAAGAGGCCGCCATGTCTGTTTAGCTCTGTGTCTGTGTTATGAGTGTTGTCTTGCTGTTTACAACAAGACAGGCTTTACAATTTATTTTTTTCATTTTTCCTTTCCTTTGGATGCATCTCCCCTTTCTTTCCCTCTCTTTCTTTTCTATGTGCTGTACCTCAGTGACTTAGGGGGAGGAAGGTACTGTACTGACAAGTGTCCTCACCCTCTGCCACCTCAACACACACACACACACACACACACACACACACACACACACACACATATACACACACACACACACACACACACACACCTGTCTTGTCTAAGCCTTCAAGCATCTGTACATCTCGTGCATTGTTGCTCTCCACACGCTCAATACAAATCAAACACACCTTGTTAACTCTTCAGTGTAATGCCCGGTGGTTGTTTCTCTATTTTGTGGAATGGTTGGTTTGTTTTATTACCCAACACCTACCTGCTTGAACTCTTTTCCTAACGGGGATTGTGATTTTTATTTTATTGCACAATGATGTCATTTTTTAAATGTTTTTAAGTTCTTCTGTCTTGGTACCAGCAGTTGTGTCCTTATGTGTACTTTTATGTTATTGTTTCCTTTTTTAATATGGACAGTAGTTGAGGGAGAGTAGTTTTATCTTTTTGAAGAATTATCATAATAATTATTATATAATTTAAAAATAGTTGATTAATAATAAACTAATTCTTTTGTCTGTGTTCTTTTTTTTTTTTCTCTCTCCCAGCAGTGGGAAGCAGTCCATAGCCATCGATGACTGCACTTTCCACCAATGTGTGCGCCTCAGTAAGTTTGACTCAGAGCGTAGCATCAGCTTCATCCCCCCTGATGGAGAGTATGAGCTCATGAGGTCAGTAGATGGCTTTGTAAAAAAAAAAAAATATATATATATATATTTTCAAGCTTTTATTTATCATTAAGCCGCCCAGACAGGCGTGGAGGGGGGTCAGGGTGAAATTAAGACTCACACAGACAATATTGAAAGCATAAAACATACGCTAGTTTGTTTCCATATGGTGCATTCTGTCTTTTTTAAAGTGTTAGTATTGAGAAATGAATGAGAAGGCCGTGGTTGAACACTGAAACAAAATGTGGGATGTGTTTGTTTGTGCTTTATAAAAAGACTTAATTTTGTTGTGTTTTTTCTCCCCCTACCTTTTTGCAGGTATCGCACCACTAAAGACATCATCCTGCCGTTCAGAGTTATTCCTCTGGTCAGGGAGGTTGGCCGCACTAAACTGGAGGTTAAGGTGGTCATCAAGTCCAACTTCAAACCCTCGCTGCTGGCCCAAAAGATCGAGGTGAGCTCTTATCAAAGTCATGATGATGCTGAATGCAAACAGCCACTAGCAGCACACGCAGGTCCTAATTTACAAAGTGGGTGATTTAGTTTTTTCTCCCATTACCACAAATTACAGCTTAAACATAGGGCTGGACAATAAAACAATAACACTTATCATGGTATTGTTTTTCCTCAATAACAATATAATAAATGTTCAATAAATGTTTGTATTAATTTATTTGAATCTCGAACAAAATGGCATTGACATATTAAGATTTTTAGTTTGAGTACAAGGGACTGAAAAAAGATTTTACTCATGAATATTTGTTGAAAAAAGATTTTTATCATTATAATTGTTTTGAATATTCTCCCTCAGATTTGTGTGATAGCAACTGTTTGTCATGTTCTGACCATGAAGAATAGTTATATGGAACCACAATTAATTATGTTGTTTTTTCAACTTTCACTCAGGAGCAAAAATTAGCCTTTAAACTCTAAAGAATTAATGATTTGACATTTATCGTGATGATTATCGAATGATATGAAGTTTTTTTTATCGGGATAACATATTTGACCATATTGCCCAGCCCTATTTAAACATGACTAAATATAATGAGAGACACTTTGGGACCTCTCTACAATCTCTACAATGTGTATGAAGTTTGACCACTTTAAACATTAAAAATGCTCATCTTCATCAACTCCTCAGGTGCGTATCCCAACGCCCCTCAACACCAGCGGCGTGCAGGTGATTTGTATGAAGGGAAAAGCAAAGTACAAGGCCAGTGAGAACGCCATTGTCTGGAAGTAAGTAGTAGCTCTGCCCGTTATGTTCATGACATACAACTTAACTCATTTTTTTAATGCTCAGTCAAGTTAATGAGTAACAGTTTCTCTTTTGTTTGTGTAACCTCAAACACACACACTCCTCTTTTGTATAACCCCCTTTTTATACTTGACTCATGTCATGTCATTCTTGTGAGGGTTTTAAAATGAGGTTCCTTGTTAGTGACACCTATACGACTCTTGTTTAGGATCAAACGCATGGCTGGGATGAAGGAGTCTCAGATCAGTGCTGAGATTGAGCTGCTGCCGACCAACGATAAGAAGAAATGGGCAAGGCCTCCCATCTCTATGAACTTTGAGGTCAGAATGCAATTCATAGTTTACATTCTTTGCCTTTATCTCACACACACGCTCTGAGGTTCACACGTGCCTTTCAGATAATGACTGATTTGAAGGAATTTTCATATCTCAGTTTTATTGAACACATCTCACATTGGATTGTTTTGAATCCAGTTTGTTGAATCTGAAACTTAAGTTAGCTGCAACAATTGTTCCTAATTAGATGTGAGATATTCTGTTTGCTTTGTACAGAGTTGGCAGCTAAACAAATGGACTATGGATTAAAAGTGATCCCACTCTCGGTCATGCAAATAGCAACACAATTCCTGTTCAGAGCTCACTTGATTTTCACGCCCACAGTACAGCCCCAGCATGCACCGGCACGCCTTAACCTTTTCCTCTTCTCCGCAGGTTCCTTTTGCTCCGTCTGGTCTGAAGGTGCGCTACTTGAAGGTGTTCGAGTCCAAGCTCAACTACAGTGACCACGATGTCATCAAATGGGTGCGATACATCGGCCGCTCCGGCATCTATGAAACGCGCTGCTAAACCCCCCCCACCCCCTGCCAGGCAGCGAACTGACCACTTTACCACTCTTGTTAAGATTCTTTTTCTTCTACCCCTTCCTACTTTGTCTCTCTCCTCCCCTTTCTCTTTATAGCTTCTCGCATACAACCTCCCATCACCACCACCACCCCCTCACCCCTTCCTAAGTAGGTGTTGGAGATTGAATTTACATCATAAAAATAAAAAAAAAAGTAAATATATAATGCACAGATATATGCAAAATGTGAACCATTGTATCGTATATATCTCGTAGTGAAGAGTAAACCTGTAAACCAACTGGTCGAAGGGGGGGGGGAAGTGATGCAGGTGGGGACCAGGGGGAGAGGATTGGCAGCACCTTTTGGTGTCTTTAAAGGGTGCCCATGTCGTGTTACTGTTTCACTACCTACTCTCCAGTTACTTTAGAAGCCCCACAAGTCCTAGAGTTCACTGGTGACATGATTTGTAGCCGTTGTGGTTTAAAATGAATCCTGATATAGTTCCTGTTTATGAACTTCTGTCTCAGTAGTCTACCCTTCAAATTGAGATGCATTGTTGGATATTGTGGACTGATTGATATTTGATCTGTGTGTGGTTTTTGTTTGGAGGAGGGATGGTCATTTGGATGAAAAGTCTCATTTCAACCTCTCTTGTGGGTAGTTAAGAACGAGAAAGGAATTGATAGTGACTGAGCTGTTTTTTGTACTTTTCTGCAACGTGTATAGTCTCTTTTCCCTTGCTAGTTTTCCACTATTAGTTTTCCCAGCATTCAAGGTATCAAACACAGAGGAGCATTCCAGGAGAGTTTTGAAGTTTGTCATCCCGATAAGCTTGACTGTGACTTAAATATTCTGTTTCTTAAGCACGAACTTTTGACTTAAAGATTTTCTGGGGAAATCTGGCACTGGGATTGTGTATTTGCAGCGAGGTTAGGTCTCCCCCTGGTGTTTGCCTCATCACTGTCTGCTTCTTCATGTTTGTAGCCCTGGTGACTGTTCTGTCCAATAAAATCTGACTATGTAACCAACCCTGCCTACGCTGCGTGTCATGTTTTTATATCCCAGTGGGGACTTCAACCTTAACTCCAATGCACACTACCCTATGGGGACTTGTGTCACAGGTAGAGACTGCTTTGAGGGTTAACATGTGGTTTTAGGGTTCAGATTACAATAAGTTAGGCATGTGGTTTAGGGGCTAGGGAATGAATGTCAATGAGATGTCCTCCTGTCTGATATTATAGGTTTCAATTCCATTTCCTTTTGAAATTGACAAATGATTTGAAAATGAATGGTTGTGTAGAAACCATGGATTTTGGGCCATATTAGTTGCAGCATGTCTGAAGTTAATCCAGTTTTCATCCTGTCTGTCCCCATTTGACAAATGTTAGCTCAAACCTTTTCAGTTTTCACAATTTAAGGAAGCTGAATTGAATGAGTTGTGCCTAAACCTGACCTACAGACTACACAGGTTTTAATTGGTAGTGAAGGAACAAATGAACAGTTATGTGAATAAATGCCCAATCCAGAAAACCCCCTCAGCAGTTTTAATAAACCAGAGGAGACAATAACTGGTCGAGGTCAACAAATGCTTTGGCCTACTTGTTTAATACATTGTTCTTGTCTTGCTCTTACTCTACATCCAGAACATTAAACAAAAACAACCCCAAACAGTAAAATAACGATTAAAACATTAAAAACATTTACATTTGTATCTAGCAGTAGTGGCTGTTATCGTCTTGCCACTCGAGTCTTCGCCACCTTGACCTCATAACGTGGACATGCTCTTAACTGAGACATTCACACTGATTAAAAGGAAGATTCCACAAGAATCGAGGCAAGGCTTCCCAAAAGTAGCTTAGCACCAACATTTGCTGGATTTTCTCAGCAAAGTGTTCTGGTTTTGTACTAATAAAGCCAAAAGTATTTCCCTTTCCAGTTATTTCCCAACCTTAAACCTTGATTCAGAGAGGCAGACTTGATTGATTTAAACCGTAAGTTCTTTTGGGAAACCAAGCCTAGAACAGATCAACCGGATATCTGTCAACATTTATATTAGTCATCTGACAGTATTGCATTATGTCTTCAGATCACCTGTGATGTTTCATTTTATATATATGAATGAGAGGAGACACAGACATGCTTTCACTTGAGATGCAGGACACACACCCGAGGCCAGACAATCTCAAACAATTTGACCCAGTCACATTGCTTCGGTGCTGCAACAATGGCTCTGTTCAGAAAGAGAAATGAATGCTCGTGCTTTGTGCGCATCTTAGGAAACAGAATCAGGGAAGAAGGAGGTAGCTACATAAAATGTTGATCTGGAGTATCATTGATGCATAAAATCCCTCACGCTACAATGCGACACAGTGCAGTCCAGTCGGCGAAAATACACCTCTGAACTGATTCAGGTTGTGTGCACAGACTCAGTTCACCTGTAGACTGGTGCAAGACGTGGAAAAACCCCAAAGCCTTTTTGGGACAACCTATATATTATATATTTTGCTGTGTGTGCACTACCAATGAGGAGGCCTTATTCATAAAACAATCCTGGTTTGTGCTTATGACTCCAAATAATTAAAAGATGTAGTTTCTTATAAGAAGTATGGCATTTAGATAGTTCTCAGGTCTGTCATCACATTGTGTGTCAAGTAAAAATTATTACGTACTTCCCTACAGGCCCAGGTGATGCAGGATCTGCATTACAAAAAAAAATAATTCCAGCCTCGCTCATGTTGATTCACTGCTCAGGACTGTCAAAGCACTTTTAAACAGGATGATTAAGATCATTATCTGTACACAGGATAAATAAAGCAAAGGGGAATTCTACAAAAATAAGTATATCTACATCAATATTTAAATGAGTCATCCTTGCAAGACTTTTACGCCATAGGAAAGGCTTCTTCCAGACACTGAATCTTGTCAGCCGACAACAACATTTAAGAGCAACTTTTATACTATGCAGTCAAAGCTGAACCCAGATCTGTCAACAGATAGAGAACGTTGACAATACATTTCATACATGCCGACGCTAGAGCTCGCACGGACAAACATGACATGCACATACACGCATAGCCCCAAAGCAGGCGGACAAATGGGGGGGGGGGGGGGGGTATTCAACACTCAACTCTCAGATTTGACGTAATCTGGAGTGTCCCTGTTATTTAAAAGCCAGGTTGGTTTCTTGTTAGCATTAGCAGAATGTGAGCACATCATTTCAATGTCCAGTTTTCTGATCTGCTCTGAAAAACTTCCCACAGAGATCATTCAACAGTCCATGAGGTCTCAGTTGACCTCTCCCCACACCAGACAACCTGCGAGCCCTCCCGCTAAAGCCATGACAAAAATAAAACCACAAACTTCTACCTCATTACAATGACAAACTTAAAAACTGAAGAAGTGTAACACCTGCAAATATTCCTGTGACAGTGCGTGACTAATAAACTCAACATCAAAAGTGAATACGATAAATGAGACTAATTTTCTAAGAACTCAGGTGACTAGTGGTAACGTTTACTGAACGAGGACAAAATTGGCTGTTAAAAACGAGCTGTGGAGAAACTGGCTGTTACAGTTAACGTCACACTGAAGTGCTAAATGTCAAAGTAAAACCATAAACAAAGAAAAAAATGGAAGCAGGAGCTCGATGAAAACCACATTACTCGACATCTGAGTAAACTGGTAGCACAGACTGCGGCCCCGACAAAGGTGAACAATTCAAGCGCGCTCTAGTTTTCGTCATCCTCGTCATCATCGTCGTCGTCGTCGCTGATGAGGTATCCACGGGCCCCGCTGTGGTGGGGCGGAGGCGAGGGAGGCGGTGAGGTCTTGGTGAAGAAGGGGAGACGGAAAGTGGGAGAGGGGGAGCGCTCCTCACGGGTGGGGCTGCTGTTGGGGCTCTGCCTGGGGCTGATGGCCTGCAGCATGCGGCCCTTCCCTTCCTTCAGCATGTGCTTCTGTGGAGGTGCGACAGACAGAAACATGAAGACAACACCTGTTAGATCAACTGAGGATACAATCAGTTTAATGCAAACACAGGAGGAGTTAAAAACACTGCTTAAAAGTGTCAGAAGACAAAAAGTTCTGTATCTGCACACGTCTATTTGGTTGGTGATCTGAATTTTGTTTGAGTACAAATGTATCCTATTGCACTTGAAATTTTGGGAAAATAAAACTTTACAGGGTAAGATGAGAAGACCACAACTGTTGTATTAACAAAACAGATATAACATGTTACTTCGTGAGCTTTTGAAGTGGTGGTACCTTAATTTTGTTACCTTCGGACAGAGCCAGGCTAGAGGCTTCCCTGTTTCCAGTCTTTATGCTAAGCTAAACTAACAGTCTGCTGAGTATGGCTTTATATTCAACAGGCACACATGACAGTGGTATCAAATGGCTCTTCTAACACTCTCCAAAAAAGAAAATAAGCATATTTTCCAAAAAAAACCTATTCCTTTAAAAGAATGTTAAAGGGTAACTTTGGTATTTTTCAACCTAGATTGTATTTTCCAATGTTTTTGTGTCTATGTGACTAATTGGGACCAGTATAGAACAAGTCATTATCCTTGCAGGAAATTGTGCTCCATCAAAGTGCATCTACTACGCTACGACACAAAAACAGGTTGAAAAATACCAAAGTTACCCTTTAATAGATGCACACAATCAGATCAAACCAAATCTTTTTGAACGTTGGCTCACTGGTATGAAATCTTATCAACTGGTGGTATAAGACCTGATGCAGATCTAAATAGAAGTTACAGTTGCATGAAAAGTACTCGCCTAACAGTGATTAAAGACCAAACAAAAGCAACGTCCTTACCAGAGCCCCCTCAGGGCCAAACATCTGCAGGAAGTTGCCAATGAACTCCCTGGATTTCTCCTCCCATTTCTGGATGAGGTCGATGCTCTTCTCCTCCACCTTCTGAACGAACTCTTTGCTCTTCTCCTCCACGTCACGTACCTTCCTCTTCACCTTGTCAACGCGCTCCTGAAGGTGGTACTTCTTCTCCTAATTAAGAATGGAGACAACAAAGGTTACAATAAATAGATGAGGTGCCTGCAACTGCCAAACATTCACGCACACCAACAACTGCCTTCACATTACAAGCTCTGTCACCGTCACACTAACTTCTCTCTCTTCAGTCAACACTCACACAGTCAAACCAAAGCTAAGATTCATACATTAATGAAGCTGACGTTGAGCTCCTTAGCCGTGTATCCTCTCTGCAGGTTGCGTCTGACGTACACATCATAGTCACGGACTATGCGTGTGATGATATCAGAGGTGGAGATGCCCTCTGTCCGCTGGGTGGGAGCGAACATACCTGCGGAGGGCAGAGGGGGTCGTGAGGATGAAAAGGCTAGTCGCCACAGTCTTGCGAGACTCAACACAAGTGACACTTTTCACCCGCTGTCACGCCACACATCAATTTTCTCACGCAGTTAAAAACAACGGTACAACTTATGATTGCTTTGCAAATCATCTCTACCCAGCTGATTCCATTATCAACAGAGCATAATGCACAGCAGAGTATAGGACAGCAACATTTCCATCGCAAATGGTTGCAGAAAAGGCAGAAATTGGTGCAAAAAAAGAAAATCAGCAGAATGCGGGAAATGCTAAAAATGTTCATATAACTTCGCACTGAAGATTTCTTAAAAATAGTGAAGGTTTCATGATGTGTGCATAAAAACAAAATTGTTGGTGTGTCAAATCCCTGTGCTTTCCTTGTAGCACAATTCAAACAAAAACACTAAAATTCTTCCTGTAGCAGTCAGCTAAAGGAGCAGTCACAGATTTTAAGACATATAAGTTAGAACATAAAGAATTATCCCTTTAATTAATGTTCTTAACACTCCCCTGCACAAAGTTTGAGCAAACTGTCACTATCCACATTCGGGAGGATACATTATTGTTATGACTATACCCACTCACCAGCATCCTTGATGTGTTTGTACACGTCATCACTGCCTGCTGAGGAGTATGGGATGTCATCATGGGCCACAAAGTCAATCTGGAGAGGTCATTACAACATGAATCAACACAGTAGATTCAGATCTACAAATTGTACAAAAACAAAAATACACAAAAAGAACAGCAGGGAAAAGATTACAGAGGATCAGGGACAATGGCTTTTTAGTTTATTTTACGAAACAGTTTTTGTCTTTTAACTCGAGTGTTTCTCTGTTCCATACACTCACGTGATGTTTTGCAAGGAACTCTGGCGATAATGTCCAGGGAGCGTTTCGCACCACTTCATCCACATAGCGGCAATGTCTGATGGCATCATAGCGCTCATCCTCATTCATCACTGTGAAGCCCTTGTATTTGTGGGTCAGGTCATCACTGCACACTTTGAATAATTAAAACAAAATACAGAAATTATTGTTTGAAATGCTTTAACCATGATTTTAATTCTAAACGAAATAAAAAAAATAAAGAATTAAGTTTGAGGTTTTGAAGCGGGTTAACATGGAAATGTATTAAACTGATGGAGAGAAGGAAACCAGAGGACACTGAACAACACTCTGGTCTGTGTTGCCGATACTTCAGCTTAATATTTCTTTTGCAATAAAAAAAAAAACTGCACTTCCTATTTGTATACAGTTTTTACACAAAACTCATGTACCAGCCCCCTGAACCAATTCTGCTCAAATACAAGCACATTTCTTGCTTTACACTGCATTTCTTAACCACACTTCTCTACATTTGGCACAAACATCATGATAAAAATCTCTTGTGTTCACATGTAACACACTGCCATTCAAAATGCTTAACTTAAATGTCATGCTGTGACTCCTCATATGGGCAAAGACATGTTGCACATTTGTTCAACAGACAATAAGAGCTTTAGCGATACAGGGCCATTTTTAAGGCAACCGATGCCACCATAGCAGAGAGGCAAGCGGCGTGAATGTAAGAGGAGGAGGAGGAAGAAGAGCAAGACCAAGGTTGATACTGTATATCAATACAGTACTCAATGATTACTGTACGGTATTGCAAGTGGACTACAGTACTATGAATAGAAGGTATGTTTTATGTATGCATGAAATTAGGTAACTCTTCCACAAACTATGGAAGACGCACGTGCAGATATAACTGCAGAAGCTACACCATTCTAGGCGACACTTCTCCTGCTGCTTGGCCAGGGAGAACACTGGCTGAGATGTTGATTGGGTGCTGTGGTAAGACCGAGACCTTTTCTTTATATATACAGAAGGTTTATTTTCCTTTTTCTGTTTGTTCTGTATGAAGAACACTTCACAAATCCTACTGTGTTTGCTGAGATGTGTAAACAGTATTTCAGAATAAAAAAAGCATTCTATTCTTGTATTTGTGTGTTTTATGTTTAAGTATGAAAACACATGCTACTGTGCGTACAGTATGGCGTCTAACACTGAAAATGCAAATGGCCTATTAATAAGATTATCATAGTAATGTTTCCCGCTCATCATAGTGTTTTTAACAGAGCACATGAGAGTTCAGTTGGTTAATAGAAATGTCTATTCATTACATGGTGTGTGTGTCATCTGAAGACAAAATTTCATTTTGAGAAGGCAAAACATTGTTTTTTACTGCAGTCTTTGTTTTGCAAGAGTTTTGTGTTTAGAGTTTTAAGAAAATAAGCCATGCTTTCAGAAAACGTGTAAGCAATTGAGAAAAGCTGTAAGAAAGATCTATCACAGTCTGAAGAAACAAAACGTGGAGGTGAAAGACACTCATAAGATGTATAAAATAGACGTTAAGACCATCTAGCAATAGCTCACATTATCCCACAGTTAACTTTTTTTATCTTGTACTATTAACTTATTTTATCTAACGTCTACCAGATATCTATATTCATCAGACTTGGTGGACTTCTGCTGCTGTGAAAGCTTATGTGGACACAGACGCTCAAAGACTCACACTTACCTCCGACAATGAGGTGTGTATTTGGGAAGAGGCATTTAGCCTGCATGAGTGCTCTGGCGTGACCTGAGTGGAAAACGTCAAAGATGCCGTCTGCATACACCCGCACCGGTCTATCGGCTGGACGTAGAAAGACGAGACATGCAGAGATGAAAGATTCATTCTGGGGTAAACCTAAAATTGTACTTTTGTTCACATGTATGACTGTACTTAAGACTAAGAAGAACTTTACTGATCTAGGGATGGGGGAAATAGGTGTATAAGAAACTTGAGGAGAAAGGGAAACATGAACAAGACAACTAAATCAATCAACTAAAAGACTCACGTGGTGTTCCCCTCTTGGCCTCCTCCATGCTGACTCTCTCATAGGGTTTACCATCAGCTGACTCCAGCTCATCTGCGAAAGGTGCAGGGTGCTTCAATCCCTAAAAGACCCGTACAAACAGAAGGAGAAGATTTCAGCGGTCAAGGAAGGTTTTTCTCTGGTTGGATAAAGTTAAAACATAAAATTTACAAACTCTAATTTTGTAATATTCTTTCCTGGAACAATCTGATGTGGAAATCAAGGGTTTTGCGTTGTGGTTAAACGGATGATGACATTATTTTAAGCATCTGCTCCTCTGACACATGATGCACACCGCAAATAAAAACTAATTTTTAGACCTTCGTAGAGAACATACATTAAAAAACAGTATATGTTTATGCTGTATACTGTGAATATGCAAATTCATCCACAGCCAGAGAGGCTTCCTTGTTCACAGAGCCTAAATAAATTGCAGGGCAGAAACGCCGCTCAGTGACAGCTAAAGCACACAGCTGACTCACCACAGTACATCTGGGGATTTTCACCAGCTTCTCTCCCTCCTCCGCCTCCCCATTGGAGCCCTCTCTTCTCCTCTTTCTGGACAGCAGCAGCCCACTGGAGCTTTGGGCTTCCATCTGTGACAAAGGCCAAGAAAAACTCTGTTAAAACCCAGTATACTTCACATACACCATACACTACTTTGCCATCTTCTAGTATAATTAAAAAACACACGTACAAATGTATATCAAGTACAGGCAAGACTGTAAATCCTGAGTCAACTTTGACCCAGTAACCCTGTAAGAACACAGTACGTGGCTCAACAAACCACCAGGACGCATTAAAACAAAAGCCTTTCACGGACACACATCTAAAGGTCAAGTGAAAACTGAGCAAACACCACCTGTTTCAACATGAAACATTTTGTTCCTAAACATACAGAGAATTAACCATGTACAATACATACATCCTTCACTTCAGATTCACGGCCTATTGTCATTTCAAAAAGATCAAGAGATCCAGCCGTGCTTCACCAGACTTCAGATGACTTTCTTGTGCCTGCACACACTGGTATTTTAGTGCCACTTTTAACCAGAACTCCATTATCAAATGTATCAAAAAGCTCTGAGAAAAATGTTTGAGAATAATTAAAAACTGCAAGGTATGTGTAAGATTTCTATAAGCACAACATCCTGGATATCTGTACTAGATATCATATAGTAGGGCTGAACATAACTAATCATTTTGATCATTGATTAATCTGCTAATTATCTTCTTGATTGATCTGTAAATTGTTTGGTCTATGAAACATCGTAAAATGTTAAATGTTCTGTCAATTAATGGACTGTGCAGAAACAAATAAACCTGGAAGAGTTCATTGATCAGAATCTATTAACGGTCCTGTGTATCCTGGTGGAACAGGGCTGGGGACTAGATCAATGATTATTTGATTAGTTACTATTGAGTTAATGGCCACATATTTTGATAATCGATTAATCAGTTAAAGTATTTTCTTAAGAAAAAGAAGTTAAAATTATATGACTCCAGCTTCTTAAATGTGAATATTTTCTGGTTTCTTTACTCCTCTGATAGTTGCCTGACAGTTAACTGAATACCTTTGGGTTGTGGACAAAACAGGATATTTGAAGCTGTCATCAAAACACTGATCGACATATTTCACCCTCTTATAGACCAAACAACTAATTGAGAAAGTAAGCAACAGATGAATCGGCAATGAAAATAATCGCTAGTTGCCACCTTAGCTGGAACCTAAAATAGTCTTTGAATTTTAACATCACATTCAATTCTATTAACAGAGTTTTAAAGATCCCATAACTTTAGAGGAACAACATAAACTACTGCTGATATCTTGTTACATGCTTCCTGTGTTATGGGTTAAGTTCTGCCCCATTCCACACATTCCATCATGCCACAGGTCATTAAAGGGAAGGTTCACTAGTTTGAAAGGTTTAGCCTCGTCACTTCTTTACCACCGTTGGCTGGACATTTGCTTCTGCATCAGTTATGAAAGTGTGACTAAGTACAATGAGTGACAGTTGTGGCAGTACACAATCCTGGTGGTGACAGATACCTGATCCCATGCTTGGCACTTGCAAAAGCAGCCCAGCCCCCGTTCCCCTCCCCCAGACTCATCCACTTAGCAACAACTAACAGTGAGTAGACCTGCAGAGCCCCCCACACTCTGGCAGAGAAGATTTACGTGAACAGCACATGTCATCATAACTTTAACTGCTATAATAAGAAAGCAACAAAAGGACAGCGCCAAGTCTTGCTTAACCTGATGCTTTGCAAACAGAGATTCATGCCCCTACAACCTTATTTTGTACATAGGGTTGGGCAATAAAACTATAATGATAATTATCAATAGAATTTTCCTCAATAACAATATAACAAATGTTCAAGAAACATTCAAGAAATATTTAATTTAATTCATTAGAATCACAAACGAATCAGCACTAAATTTTTCTATTAAGATATTTAGTTTGTTGAGTAAAAGGGACTGGAAAAATGTTTTAATTAATTTTCCTCATGCATAATTTTTTTGAATGTTCTTCCTGTTGTTTGTTAAGTGATCCACTGTTTGGCATAAAGTGTTTGTCATGTTCTGACCATAAAGAATAGTTTAAAACCACAATTAACCGTCAAAAATCTGCCTTTAAAACTTGAAAGAAATAATGATTTGGCATTTATCGTGAAAACTATGGATATTAGATTATATGAATTTTCTTATCGTGATAATATTTTTTGCCCAGTCCTATTTTTTACAACAATGCCTCATAGAGAAGAGAAAGGATAGATCTTTTAAAGAGCTTATCCATAAAATTAATTACAGATTAAATGTTTTCAGGAATATCTGGGGTCCCTATTTAGAATTGATAGTTAGAGATGATCACCATGACAACTGGTATCATGTGTCCCATCCCTGTTGTCTGTGCATCCTATAACTTAATCGGTTATTCTCAGTACATACAGTAAATTTAAAACACAAAAATCAAATGTCCATTTCAGTTCTGGGCCACTGGAATCTTTTGCTGGCCTCCTGATAGTTCTCGGACCACACTTTGACAACTACAGGCTTCAGCCGCATTCCACACAATGTCCCCAATATCTCTTTCTTGTGTATTTAAGTCACTTAACAGAAGCAGACACAAATAACGTTGTGCCAAAAGTCGTTTAAAGTAAAGACAGAAATGAAACCAGCTGACGGAGGAGTTGGAACAGTAAGTTAAGGGACACGGGTTGTGCAGCTCAACTGTCAAATCGTGGCTTACTGGACGCTATCGCTTCTGGCAAAAATCCTTCATATCAATATGCTAACGTTAACTAACGTCACCTAATACAACAGAGAAGTTAGCTAACGTTAGACAGCTACATTAGTTTGTGTTTACTTACCGTTCACTCTTTTGTCCGGTGTGCTACTTTACAGGAGTGGGCGGCTTCCTCGCCTCGTACTAACAGCAGCCTAGCTAGCTAGCTAACTGAAACGTCAGCTAACGATGCTAGCTACCGTCGAATGCTAGCTAGCAAGTTAGTCGTCAAGCTTGTTGGCTAACTTTAGCCGTTAGCTCGCTGGTTAGTTGACACCGGCTACAACTGTAAGTACGGACAATCCTGTGCGTCCGACGCCGCGGTGCTCGCTGTGTTGCTGGCCGAAAACTGCAAGTACCAGAAGGACAGACAAACTGTCAGCTGTGACAGCTTGTACTACAATGCTGACAGGTCAACTACACAGGAACTACAAACCTTCGACATCCTTAAAGGAACTGACATACAGAGTTGGATATTTCCGGTCTTGTATCGTGCTGCCGCCTAGTGGACATTCTGTATATTGCAGAAGGTCACTTCAAGAAGATGTCCTTCATTTGATTATGAGGCTTCCACTGATGCTAGCTATAAAGGTAATTATTTAATAAAATATGACATGTAAAAGGTAATTATGTAATAAAATATGACATGCAGCCTTTGTATGCATATTATAACATTATGTAACCATTTCTACCACCACGAAACAGTAATTTGACTTCAGAAGTAGTATACCTTAATCCATGTTTTGAGTGTCAACAGAGCTGTAACATCACCTTAAGTATTTAATTATTTGAATGTTAACATGATTCCATATTTATTGTTATGCCGTGCATAAGGCTGTTTCCAGTGGTGAAAGAACATTGGCCTTTTCTGAGCAGACAATTTGACCTGTCTTAATACAAACAGCACAGGAGTCACTAATAAGATTAACAATGGCTCTGCCCTGACAGTGAGCCAGCATGTACAGTACCAGCACCTGATTACTGAAACAGATGGAATTCAGCCATCATTCATTTTAGTATTTACACCTGTGCTTTTCCAACTGTGACAGTTTCAGTTGGATAGTTTTAGTTTTATTTTGCAAAATAATTCTGCCAATTCTAGCCTGTTTTATTAATCTGTGATTGTTAAGTTAAGTCAAGTTGTCATTTTCAAATAATACAACACTATACAGGCCAGATTGTAAGAGTAATATTAATGCATATGTGTGTAGATTGAAATATGATTAAATATTTGTGTAAAAACCAACATTGTTTGACAACTTCAATCAGTATCGTAGACATGTGGATTAGCTGAGGTTTAGATAACGTTGATACAAGTGCTGAACATTATCTGACCTTAAATAGGACCAACTTAGGGGCAGCTGATTATTCAGTGGCTGAGAGAAAGCTTCATCATGGCCAATACATGGTCCTGCTCTGGCAACCAGATCTTGACCACCCAACCACTGTTATTCTGAGTGATACTGGACTGTGTGTGCTATCACTGGACCAGACCAGATGTGCACATTTCCTTCTGCAGCAAACAAGAGAGAAGTCTCATCCAAAATATCTGCAATGTTACATGATCTTACAACAGGAAAACCAGCCTTAAACATATATAGTGGTAATCTGGCACATATTTCTGGTATGATAAGATAAACTCTTCAGAGTCAGGACTAAATCGCCTTAATTCTGCTGAGGAAATATACAGCACAGAGGTACCACAGCTTTAAAATTAAGAGTATAGAGCTAAAAACCTTACTCCTGAGCTGATCCTCTTGTCCTGCAGGCAGCTCCAGGACAAGGTATAATTTCACTAGAAGATCTGAGGGGCACATGCTACGATAATTGATGCCCTGAAGGTGGTGGTAAAGTTGTGCAACAAACGTTGCTATACATTGCAGTAATGCAGCTATTTTACAATCTCCTGCTCTCCATCAGTGGTTTGACCACGTAATCCATCCATCCATCCATCCATCCATCCATCCATCGTCAACCGCTTATCCTGTGTACAGGGTCGCGTGGGACCTCGTAATCATCTCTTTAAAAAATGTGTCCTAATATAGTATAGCCTGGATGTGAGATCCTTGCAACATATTTAAATGTTTCCATCACAAAACTATGGCAATATAACAATATAATATATTAAATATAATTACAATCTCATTCCACATTGTAAACCCCTTAATATTTACTGTTTTGTAATTTAAAAAGACATTGCAGCATGATACTTCATTTTTCAAGGAGTTTATATCTTCACATTGCTGTTTAACTGCCACAAAGCTCATCACGATTCATGTTAATCATTGGTTAAAAAAATAAGTCAGAAATCCTGAGGGCATGTATGTTTTGTTGCCCTTCTTACACCTTCTGTAAAACAAGTTGATTTATTTTGTGAGGCTGTTGTCTTAGTGTACAGGTAAAATAAATGTATATCATTTAACAGCAACAGGTACCCTTACCCTTCCATTTTTGTCATTTGCACAGAGCAATTACACTATGATGTTCACCATTAGCCACCTGGTAGAATCCCTTTAGACTCCCTGTCTCCTTCTTGCACTCTTTGATCGCAGCCTTACCTGCTGGTTTGAAGTATATAATGTGCTTCACTGTTGAAGTGACAAATGAAACTGAAAATGAAGACAAGAAAGTCAAAAGAGTATCGGAGAATGTGATGAAATAATAAAAAATAATAAAAAATTAGTTTTACCTGGCTGAGCCAAGGTGGGCATTAAGACTGATTCAGTTTCGACAGAACACGTCCATTGCATGTTCTAGTCAACCTAAACAAACACACAACACTTTTGACTAGATGTGTGAAGGAGCCCAGTTTGTTTTTGTCTTAGCTCTATGTATGTTATGTGTTTCCCATTGTTTTGACTCCAATTGGGACAGCAAATTGAGATGAATAACTGTATATGTATATTTTCTAAACATTTATCCAAATATTAACTTTATAACTTCTCATGTGCATTTATGTGTATTTTTGCTCTCTTATTCAGAAATGCGTGTGTCAATGTGTAAATTAATAAAAGCGTTTCCCAGGCTTTGTTACATTGACTTTGTGTTTAGACAGGCTGGCCCATAATTCCTGCATATTTCTTGGGGACTTAAATATCAGTTGGCGTGGCTCCCACCTCTATTTTTTGACTGGCCAAGACCAAAGTTAAAAGGACATATCCAGCTGTTTTGTGACAGAGGGTTAATTTTGACCTGTCAGGCATGTTTTGTCAAGAATTAGGACACAGTAGCACAGTGCATGTTGCCTATATGTTGCATATTTGGTCCATTAAACGAACAGAAAAATCCATGTGAAGTGTTTTTCAATGAATACATCATTCCTCCACTGACGGTTTCAACCAAGACTGTGACCCCATAGAAAGAGCCAAGAACCTGGAATGCCTGTGCAGCCAGTAGGTCCTCTGCTGTCACATTTTGTTTGAAGTTGTTTTTTTTACTGCTGGTTTATGCTCAGCGTGCTAATGAGCTCTTCCACGTCTCAACACAAAATGCACGAGAGGTGGAGTTAGGGCAGATCAGTGGCCAATGGAGAGGCCCCAGTGTTAACAGCAGTATTTATGAACATATTTTGAGAAACAGCTTAGACCAAGACTGCAGAGATGCAACAGCAGGTGAGCAGGTCCAGTTTTCTTTTTCACTCTAATAGAACTCCAGTAAGTTTAAAAGTATAGCTGTTCAAATAAGGCAACACTTGCTTTGCATTGTTTACGTTGATTGCTTTTCTCTGACATCTGCTTAAAAGATAATCTGCAAATGTCATAACGAAAGGATTTGGATTGATTGATAAATATCAGACAGCTACTATAATTAAAATAAGATAGGTTTATCTTATTGGCAAGTTGTTTTTTTTATCCAGGGAGTTGAGTGTCATACTTTTGAGCATTCCTGCATTTTTTTTTTAACCTTTGTTGTTTGTATTACAACAAGAAGAAAAATATGGAAAATTATTTATTATGCATTTGTGAATAACAGCAGTGATATAAGGCAGAATGCAAAATAATTGGAGTTATGCGTGATATTGATATTGCAGATGTGGAGGATGATTTCCCCGGTGTCCTTGTTGAGGGCGCTATGCTGCTTGCTGTTGATGCCAGGTTTGTCAAAATAAAATGCATGATGTTATTCTTCTTTCATCTGACCTTTATGTAGCTGTTAAAACAATAAAAAGTTGAAAGATGATTGATAACACTGTTCACGTAGTAATGAATTGTCTCCTTGAGTTGCTGCGTAATACTTTGCAGAGTGAAGTGTTATGTTGTATGGGGTGTGTGTCTAATATATTCTCTGCCTGCCTCCAGGTTTGCAGGAAGCAACATCTCTGGTGAAAGTGAAGAATCCCGGAGGTATTTCATCTTCTTATGACAATTGTTAACATGTTAATGAGAAATAGATTGTAATAACAATGTTATATAGCATTTATGGGCGGATTAGTGTCTTTACTAAAGTTAACGTGAATTTCGAGACATGTTATAAAATAAAGTGCAGCTATTTCTGTAAAGACACTGTACTCTGCTCTAATTAGTATTATAAATGGCACTTAGTTCTTCATAAAAATAAGTTATCCTGTACACTGTTAAAAAAATGTCATATTAATCATATCACTACTACAATAATATATGTGTCACAGATATAAGACCTATATATAATACTAACTATGTTTCTATGGTGTTTACATTACCCCTGAATTGTGAAAATAAAAAAATTTACTATTTTTGAGTTGAAATTGCAACAGAGTTGTTTTTCCCTCTTATAATTTCTCTTTCTGTGTTCTTCCACAGGAAATCCTTTTAGCATTGGCTCGGCTCAGGCACATGATTTCTTGACTAATTCTCGACCTAAGAGGAATGTTGACCCAAAGTGGTACAGAGGCACTCCTGATTTTCAGTCTTACTACCGCTTCTACAACAGTATTGGACACATTGAAGGAGTAAGTTGAGGTTAATTGGAGATTCTTACATGTGATTCCACTTGGATTACACTATTCGACTAAACTCTTTCATAATCTTAAAATTTTTCATTTCCTCTCTGATATGTTTTTGTGTTTCTCAATCAGCTCTATGAGATTGACAGGATCCGGATGTTGTATCAGCAGATGCGTCACTTGGAGGTGACCTATGGCCCAGACGCCTCCAGTTACCAAAATGTCATGGGGGTACTGACTACCACTGCAGCGCCAACTACTACCACTCAGCCTCCTCCACCGCCCACCACTCCTGCTCCTACACCAGATCCTCTGGAGAAGGCTCAGAGGGTGTATCTGTGTAACCCCAAAGATCCACTGTGCAAACCTCAGATCGTCTACCTGCCAACAGGGGCTGTTCCAGTGCTGTGTGACCCACGACTCAACCCCGCCTGCAGGATGAAAACAGAGGAAGAGATAAAAGCTGCTGCTCCT